ACAGACATAAACACTACCTTTTGACAAATCCGCTGTGCAAGATAAAAGTAATTAATCAATCAGCGTGTTATCGGTTAATCCTGTGATCGATGTTTATAATGTTGAGTATTTACTCCAGACACAAGAAATGCCAAATGGGAACCTTTGTCGGGTTATCTAAGTGGTGTTACCACTAATTATACCTGTTATAAATTCATTAACTGACCATCAAGTGAATGATGACAAATAATGTGTACGTTTATACCACCTAACACGGGTTACAACAAGGGAGTATTTTAATTGCACGTGAAAACATATGGGCCGACACTGTTTTGAGAATACGAACAGAACTTCATTGTTGCATAAGAAGTACATATAAGCATTTGCTGTGTGCTAAAACTGTATGTACCTATTTACGTAAGTAAATTTTCAGATTCTTCTAGCAATGGCAAAGTAGGGTTGTTTAGTTTACGGATTCAAATAAATCAAATGTCAATTTTTAATATCATACGTAATAGACATCATATTTTAACATGATATGATTAAATATCGAGGTAAAAACAACCCCACAGAAATGGGTCAGTTTGGATCAGTCAATTTACCATCCAGGCATTAGAAAACCTGAAAAAGCCCACACTGCTTTGATACTGTATTACAATCAGACAAGAACTACCGGGGATATTTTCAAATAACTGCATCTGGTGGGCATCCACCCTTCTTAATGTCGCACTGTTTAGGTTGAAGAAATTAACCGTAACCGTGATGAGCGAGGCTGATCATCGTTTTCACTATCACTAGCGTCTAATGATATAGCTTCTAAATAGTTTCCTGGAACCCGATCCACAAAACGTCGACATTCGTAAGCCTATGGTAAACTGTAGAGTTACGACAGGTCGTAATGTAACGGATGGGGACCCTGTTCTACAATACGAGACCCACGACCGTGAGTGACAGGAGTTGTAAAGGAACGGACCCCTCGATTACAGTTGTGTGAAGGGAATATAGCTCTGTACTCACCTTTGACATACTGCCCAGTGTACATTGCCACTCCAAGCTGTAACGGAAACTACCTCTGTGTGTGGGAACACTCTGATGTTTTATGGATGTGTCGTGTTAGATGTTCAGCGGAAGCCTCACTTTCATCAGCATTGCCTGATGTTCATGGTCATCTGGGTATTGATGACAAATCACAAGTAACACAAATGACACATAAACAACTATCCTGCTACAAATCACAAATCAGACCCCTGGGACAGATAGAGAGAAGTACAGCGTAGAATTACAACCAGTACCAAAAAAACACAATTAACCGACAAATGCTAGAGGCACTGATAGCCACATCTGAAACACTTAATGCACGCTCGTTCATTGTGTAAATATATATTTACTCAAACAGACACCGACGATAACAGTAAACAACGCCTGCGTCTGTACACTGCGCCTGTCAATGAACATGTGACTCATTCTAATACAACAGTGCATCTTATTGAATGTTTTATGTATAACAAATACCAACATTGTCATAACCTCCCACAGGCTTCTTATTGGGAAGAGTGTCAGGATTCTTTCTATATATTTACACCATATATTTCCCCGTTTCTGTTTCTAATATAAAAATTATTATTTTAGCTTAAAAACGTTTTTCAGAGAAGTCGATGCTCTGAAATATAATTGTAGGAATGACTATCATCTATGTGATGTACTAAGCAAATTTGACTGTAGTTGATACATGTGGTCCCTTTTGGTTAAATACCCTGGTCAAATAGTCACTGCTTCACAATGGGCAAAACACTTTAATAATTTTTATGCTTCAACCAAATCACTGCAACCAACATTATTCAGCATATTCTCAACATCGTTTTCCAAATTACAAACTTCTCGTCTTCAGCCTTCATGCACAAACATGCATGGCCTGTTAGCATACAGTTATCATGAGTATCGACACGTTTATACCGATATGTAACCATGTTGAACATTCTGATATAGTTTACCTATGTTCTGAATTCTGAATAAATCATGTCATTATATACAGACCTCGGGACTTAAAGCATTTGCTACTATTGCGCTGCTTATCTGAGAAGCATATCGAAGTATACTGCCACCATAACAAGCAAATGATGCTAGCATTGTTTCAGTATTTAGAAGGTATGATTAAACATTGCGGAGTAAAGAACACAACGCTTGGCACATTGAATCATGAACTATTTTGCAACACAAGTAAATCTGTTATTACAAAAAAGCATTCCCATATCTGAAAATATATCATTTGCATGCTCTGTATCATATTTCAATGTAATTTTAGTCTTTCAACATTGACTCCTAAACTCAACCCTTTTGAATACACTAAAAGAATCCATGTCCTGTTAAAGACCCTCGGCTGATTCAGACACAATAACTAAGTTCTCCGTATACTGGCAGAATCTATCATAGAACTGGTGCAACAGCGGTATAAGGTACTGCGATCCGCTGTACATAGTTGCCCACCCAGATTATATCACCTATTTCAGCACGGCTCCCTTTGGGAGCTGCATAAATCGCCTTACACGCGCATGCTGCGTGTCGTTCGATAGCTGGACCTGGAGCTACACGGAGAATGTTTCCGTTTGTTTTTAAGCAAATTTATAGCCAAGCAATTAAGGTTTCTGTGTTTTTTAAGCTTTGTGTTTTTCTTCCACGTAGGTCCCGGTGGAACAAATTTGTTCCACCCAGCCTCCGGTGGAGATCGCCTGCGCCATTGCATTTTGGAAGCCTTCTACTTCGTCGTATCTATGCATGTTATACATTGTTGGAAACCCGAGGAAACGCTCTCTCCAAATATGCAAACGTGAATATTATGCTGCCCCTGGTAACCAGTCCAGATTGAAACTCCGACTTGATGTTTTGTGTAATTTTACTGAAGTTCAATTTTGCTGTGTGATATAGCAATTTTTCGCCAACATCATGCAGTCATGATATAACGGCTGCTACTCTTACACATCACATTGAAAGCCATTTAAGGCGTATTTTAGACAATTTATAATACGCATATGTTGCACATTCAGTGGTGGAGCTATATAAGTATTAATGTGCGAACTGCAAAAGATATGGGACGTGATATAGATTGGCGGAATTTAGATGAATCTGTACACCGGCTATACCGGCGGCGTCAATATTTACATCTTTAGTGCATGTGCAAGATCATTCATGTGGGATTCTGGAAATCTAACCATAACAGCAATACCTGTAGTGTTAATATTTATTCTTTTAGTGTATCGAAAAGCCCTTTAAAATTCTCTTCTAACGACGTATAACACGTACATGTGCAATATCTTGCACAGGTGCTACACAATAATGAAAATGACGCTCCTGTGTCCGATGACTCCGCCATCAGCGGATGTTCAGTTCCACTATAATTTCTATACCCGTCGTTCGATCCTTCATTTCTATAATTCATATGAAAGCTCTTTACAATGCACTTCTAACGACGTATGACACGTACATATTTTGCAACGTGCTACACACATCTGAAGTTGCCGCCGCTGTATAGACAATGAAGTGCAGACTGATGCTATAAAAGTCCGTGGTGTCCCAACGGCACGGCTGCATTTACTGCGGTAATGCTTCTACATTAGCTTATAAGCACAGAAGCAGAGATTACACAGGCACACCATTGTTGCCCTCAGCAATTAATTCCACTGATTGAAGGTATTGTCGAGTGTGTTGATGGATACTCTCAATAGTTTCCTGAATTACCAAGAACACATTTTGTGCTGGTCAAATCTCTGTTCTGCACTCAGATATCGATAAGATTTAAAGCAAAAAGCGAAAACCCGAGAAAGTGAGTGAGTGAGTTGGGTTTTATGCGGCCTTAGGCAATATTCCAGCAATGTCATGGCTGTGGAGACCAGAATCCGGGGTTAAAGCGTCCGTCCGGGCTAAAGCATGATGAATGGACGCTGTAACCATTAGTCTACCCCCACCGCTCCGGAAACCCGGGATATGACTTCCAGTTTCTAAGATCAAAACAGCCACATCATTCATCCCCGTAGGATGTACATAGGCCAGTCACCAAACAGCTGACACGAATGAAGCGCTAACTTCCAACAAAACACTAAAATACATTGTACATGCCAACTGTAAAGTCCACACCCAATTCAAAGCCCATGGGATTTGATCTCATGCAAATGTGGAGTATACCGCAGAGACTCCAAGCTTCTCTATACTATCATTAGTTATTGGAAACAACGGTTGGTTGGTTGGTTGGCTGGTTGGTTGTTTACGCCGCACTCAGCAATATTCCAGCTATATGGCGGCGGTCTGTAAATAATCGAGTCTGGACCAGACAATCCAGTGAACACCAGCATGGGAATCGATCCACGCAATTGGGAACCGATGACATGGGTCAACACAGTCAGAGAGGTTCAGCAAGAAACCCGATCCCGTTAATCGCCTCTTTCGACAAGCATGGGTTATTGAAGTCTGGGATAAGTTCCTTGACTATGTTTAATGATCTTAGAAGCGCCCAATTTAATGCATAATTCTCAAGTACATGTACACAGGATATGTGAAGATATAACATGCTTAGTTTTCAGCTTGTATTCACGAACATCGATATTTACTTCACCATTATATTTTTGGGGGAAGCATTCCTTGCATGTGTGAGCTTATTCTTGTCTTTATACGATAATACTAACAAAACAATATGTATGTGAGTGGCAAAATATATCTATCTCTCAACACCATATACATCTGTGGAGAATTCACATTAAGACCAGGGGTACAATCTCTTCATCGAAATGAAAGAAACTCTCATTAACCAATAAGAGAGAAAGCTCATGTTTCAAACAGTTGGGGCTTCCTGTTGTGTTTGATTGCACTGCGCAACACTCACGTATCAATAATACACATCGCCGGCAGCAGATAGTACCGGTGGTGTCTGTCAATAATTAATTACTCATTAAACGAGAGTGCATTAAGTGTTTCAGATGCTGATGTAAATGACCAGATGACCATACGCATCAGCCAATGCTAATCAACTGGAATATTCAGCTGAACAGCTAACACGACACATCCATAACACATCAGAGTGTTCCCCCAAACAGAGAGGTAGTTTCCGTTACAGCTTGGAGTGGCAAGGTACAGGTGGCAGTATATCACAGGTCAGTGCAGAACTTTATTCCCTTCAAAAAATTGTAATTGAGGGGCCCGTTCTTCTAACAAGTGCTATCACTCACGGTTGTAGGTCTCGTATTGTAGAATAGGGTCCCGATCCACAAGCGTTCGTAACGTTACGACCTGTCGTAACTCTATAGATTACCATAGGCTTACGTAGCTGTCGTAGCGTTAAGGGCCCTTATTCTCGAAACGTTCGTAGCCCTAAGAATTCTTAACTTTGATGGTAGCCAATGTGTTAAGAATGGGCTTAAGAAGTTCGCAAGGCTACGAACGTTTCGAGAATAGCTACCCTGGACCCAGGAAACTTAGTTACGGACTTAGTAGCTTTATGAATAGTTATCTAAGTCTCAGACTTAGCTAAGTTAGATTTCAAAAACTTATGCTTTGACGAAAGATTAAATACCAGTTTCGTTATGAATACGGTCCAAGAATCACTTGGACAAATGTATGTCTTACGATCCAACTCAGGGTTGAGTTGTTAGAATGTGTAACATGGCGGATTACGTCTGTGTATTCAGAGTATTGACGGATAGATGCGATACGCAGTACACTACGGTTTTAACAATTTCATAGGGGCCATTCGGGATAACGAGGGATAACAATATATGGATGAACAACTTTATTACAGTAAGAACAACGTTAAGAGGATGTTCCCCCATATATTGTTATCCTTCCTTACCACTCCAACTTCTAAATGCCTCTCAAAGAAGTTACCAATAGGCCTAGTTCGTTATAACTGAAGCTCGCTGGACGCTTTTCGACTAAAAATAAAAATAACCCAGTTCGTTATATCAATAAGCTCGTTATAAACGTATTTCTGTGTGGACATTTTCTGATTATGTCGGTGTTTTAACATCCACTCACTCACCAACTTTACATTTAATGGTGTCGTAATACGATAGAAAATAAACTGCTGTGTAAGAATCGGAATTTCACGGATCAAACGCAAATGGTTTTGAATACGCCTTTGGCAACATATGTTTGTGTGAGAGCAGTGTGAGGTGGATTGGTGTGTGCGTCATTAACTTGCTTGACTGCATAGAGTCGTACCCAATAGTACACAACACTGCTCATGTTTCAAGTCACTGGTTGGCCTGTTCTGTTCTATCTGAGCCCCAGAACATAAAGGCACTCACATACACTGTTATCGTGCCTGTCAGCAACACATTATTTTAGCAGCATTTCCACTAGTGCATAAATCGAGATTCGTTTTTGAACTAACAAACATATTACCAGAGGTTACCTAAATATGTTAGCATGCTTTATCTGCCGCACTGGATAGTTAGTTAGTTAACCTTGTTGTTACCATACGGCAGGTATGATCATCGTTCAAGAAGTTTCAGGATGGGTGAGTTTCTCGAAGGCTAGATGGACCTGTATTTACGTGGCAAGCGGTTAGATTCTACTTGCAAAGTGTAGGTTAGATACATACGTGGATACTTTAAGCCAGGTTTCAACAGTATTCTAGATTGAAGGAATACAACAGGCTTCTTTAAAGTTAATCAAAAGTGACCATATTCGTGGGTGAACATTCTGGACATTATATCTAGATCCAGCCATTTATTTTATGGATTGCCAATCCTATTTGAAATCTGAAATATGCATATAGCATAATATAGTATATATCGATGATTCAACCATCTTTTGTACTGAGTCAAAAAAGAAACTTCACATTCTTTCTTCAGGGCACTATAAAAGAACAAGAGATGGTAAGATGGTTAAATTGTTATTATTGCATTGCTGAGATCTGTGTGATGTACTCGATCCACTGACAGTGCCATAATCAGTTCCATTAGGCTACACCGCCGTTCCAAAACATGGGTATACAGAATGTCAAGTCACAAGAATATAAATGCCAAATTTCTCAGTTCATTATCGTGTATGGCCGCCCCACGCATTCACCACTGCCAAACACCGTCTCCTCATCGACTGCCTGATGCTTGTGAACACCTGGTTGGGGATTCTGTGCCATTGCTCTTGCAAGGTAGCGCCAAGTTCCTGCAAATTCTGAGGTTTGTTCCTAAGACCCCGAAGCCTTCTCCCAAGTGCATCCTAAACGTGCTCTATTGGATTAAGGTCAGGGGACCTCGATGGCCAGTCCATGACGTTGATTCCAGCGTTTTGAAGGAAATTTCGTGTCAACATCGCAGTATGCGGCCGAGCATTATCATGCTGGAACTGTAGACCTGGGCCATGAGCCGCCATGAAAGGAACGAGTTCAGGGGTGAGCACCTGGTCGCGGTAAGCAGTAGCTGTGAGATTTCCTCGGATGACCAGAAGTCGGGAACGGTTGTTCCCACAGAAAGCACCCCACACCATGCAACTTCCGCCCCCGAATCTGTCGACTTCCTGTACACAACATTGGGCATACCATTCACGACGTCGTCTCCAGACTCTATGCCTGCCGTCCGCGAATCTGAGGGTAAACCTGGATTCATCGCTAAAGACGACTCGATTCCAGTCTCTCTGGGTCTGACGGAGGTGACGGTGGGCCCACAGCAGACGTTGACGTTGATGAAACGGCGTCAATATTGGCCCACGATATGGACGTCGAGAATGGAGATTGGCAGCCCGCAACCGATTTCGAATGGTCTGTGAGGACAGTCGACCTCTAAACATCTCAGCCCTGGTTCGTGTAGCCGGCAGAAATCTGTCACGTAGGTGACGTAGAACGTGGACGACCCGACCTTGGGCAATCAGAAGTGGAGCCAGTTTGTTGTAGACAACCTCGCAAGTCATACACAGTACGACGGCTGCATCCCATTCCCAATAACTGATCTTCCCGCTTGCAACATGCCAACGGCACGTTCACGTTGCACATTTGACAATCGTGGCATTTCAAGTTCCGTTAGAACTGTGGTTTGAAAGGGTTTTCAATTCTTGAGGCCACTGCAAACACGTGCATATGAAGAAAACTTCGATGCGAAGATCACGTGATCGACTGCACGTGCAAATCCTGATTTGGCACTAACGTCATTTGCACGACGAATGGATGGGTTTGAGTGGGTTTTGCTAACGTTTTTCTAGAGTCGAAAGATAGGGATCCCATTTCGGATACATAGATGTATCATCAGAGAAAAATTATTCTTTATTTTTCCAATTACATTTTGTGAAGTTTCTTTTTTGACCCAGTATATTTTGGCTTTCGAGATTTCTGGGTTAACCTGTGCGAATTCTATTTGGAAATTTCTTCGTAATACTCTCCATCGTATATAGACTGCAGCCTCGTTGTATCGCAGTAATTGACATGTCCGTAATCGGAAATAGAACTGTGAATTTATAAGGCCTATTGTATTGCGAATTCTGATTAATATGACGTATAATCAACATATTTGTGAAACATTTATTACTTGAACTTCGATAGTTTTTCAGCGTAAACCATTAGACAAACGAAGTTTTCTTACTATGGCACGCGGAACAAGCAAATGTAACGAATCTAAATAGTTATAATGTTAAAAATATTTTGGAATTTCATTATGTCATCATGTATTTAACCAAATATCTGAAACTTCTATTCATTTGGATACAAGGTAACAATAAGTTAGCAACATTTTTTGCCGCCTAAAACCTCAACATACAATTTGCTGCCGTGTGCAGGGTGAAGTTGAACAATACGTCACTTCCTGGTATAGTTGTAGGACGGAAAATATAAAAATAATCTTATAGTTGTCGCAGAATTACTCTTGGCGAAGTAAATTTTGATTCGAGCAAGATGCAATGGCGGTAGGGGTCATACTAGTTTCAAAATGTTCCAGAACTTACTTCAAAGATGAATATTTTTATATTTCTACGATTAGACATGACATTCGAATGATATCAATGACTTTTCATGAACGATGAATATTCTTGTGCGTAATTTGCATATGTAAACAGCCGCTGCGGGGCGTGGTGTTTCTGCTTCTCCGATGTTTTCACGTGCCTGATGAATGCCGCGATTCAACGAAGTCCGCATATACTTAGCCACATTCAACTGTCATCATGCTTGGGGCAATCTATTCAGACTGCAGGCCGCATTTGTCAATTTGTCTGTTATCTAACCTTTGTCATTAATGTTAGGATTCACAGTGGTGTTACATCTTCCATGCAGGCATGTTACGTTTGTCTGTTATCTAACCTTTGTCTGTTGCAGAGAAAACTACCAAAGCTGGAATGATGCCACTGATTTTAAAAGTGTTGATCCTCCTGTTCCTTGTTGCGTTCAGCGACAGCAGTAACATCACAGTATCATCGTCGGCAACTCATAGAAATGTCTCCTCACCACCACCAGCAAAGCCAAGGAATCATAACAGACCAGGAATCGTCACCGCCGCCACAGTAGAAAGAACAGCATTTTATGTTAATCTTATCCTAAAGCCCATCATTTGTTTTTCTGGTTTGGTGATGAACGTTATTGGATGTTTCGTCCTTCTACACAAATCGTTACGTCACTCATCCTACCGTTATCTGCTGGGTCTATTAATAGCTGACTGTGGGTTCCTCCTCTGTGGAATCCTGCGCATGCCCACGGATATATCAGCGGAATATGACATCATGTATTCTAATTACTTGTCATCTGTTCTTGATATTCCAACCAAGCACTACATAGAACTCGCCTTTTCCAAAGTGTCTGCAATCACCATCTGTATTTTGGCTCTTGAGAGACTGATTGCTATATCCTTTCCGCTCAAGGCAAAGACTTTCTTCCTTGCTCGGTATTCGGGCAAGATAAGCGTTGCTCTGTTTTTCATGGTATTTATGTTGTATGTTCCGAAACTATTTCAAACGCACTTTGTTTGGAGTTTCAACAGACCATTAAATCGGTCTGCATTTATCATTCAGAAAATAACCTACAGCGAACCGACGCTGTCATTTATGACAAATTACGACAAGTTCGTATTTAACATACTGATGATATACATTACACCGTGTCTTCTTCTGGTATTGAACATTGGTATCTGGGTTCAATTAGCTGTAATCAGACGTCGACGAAAGTTCCTCTTCGGTACTGCTGAACAGGAACAGTGGAAAGTGACCTTGACCTTGATGACGATTTCAGTGTTTTTTGTAGTCGTGTATATTCCGTTAATCTCTGTAAATGTTCTCGAAATACATAATCCACGGCGATTTAGTCGTAGAGGTCCGGAACGCCATTTCAGAAGCCTGGTAAACCATTTGTCGTCTCTCGGCTGGACCATTAACTCCGCTAACGACTTCATCATCTACGTCATCACCAACGTCAAGTTCAGAGTCACCTTAACAAATATGTTTTGTTCAAAAAAAGCACAAAGGGACAACGTCAGCACAAACACGCCGAGTCTGGATCAGCATGGCCAATAGTTCATCACACGGTAAACAATCTTCACCAATAGAGCCCAGCGAAAGAGGGGCGGTGAGGTAGTCCCGTGGTCGCCCGTCACAGGAATGTCCGAGTTTGACTTTCTACATGGGTATAAAATTGGCAACCCCCCTTTGATGCTCCGCCGTGGTAGTGATGGAATATTTCTAAACCAGCTAACCCCAAGAAACACGGTATAATGGTAGCACCTAGTAACTACACAATACTAGGGAAATATGCCATAGCATCCCAACGTAGAGAAGAGAGCAGGATATCGATTGGGCATGCAGACAGACTCAATACGTTGGTGGTTTATGATAATTATTACATTGAGTCTATTTAGTGTAAATGTTGTCTCGTTCCCTATTATGCCGTAGTTGGTCAATCTATGAATTGTTCCAATAAAGTATTCACATTGGAATCTATGGTCATAATAAATTGATTGATTAATTGATTGCTGTTTAATGCTGCACTCAGCAATATCCCAGTAATATGGCGGCGATCTGCAAATAATCGAGTCTGGACCAGACACTCCAGTGATCAACATCATGAGCATCGATTGGGGCAGAATGAGATATGTCAAGCCACCCGAGCGCTTTTATTATGTGTGCATGAGCGAGTTTACTTTTACGCCGGTTTTAGCAATAGTCCAGTAATATGACGCGGGTGACACCAGAAATTGGTTTGACACTTTGCACACACGTGGGGAATCGAACCTAGGTCTTCGGCGTGAAGAGCGTACACTGTAACACCACTAGGCTACCCCATTACCCCGTGCCTAGTATAAGGAGAGATTAGTTGTGGTATGAGAACCCTGAAGAACTCCGTCCTGGGCGGCATGGGACATCAGCAACAGCAGCCCTGATCCATAGATCACCAATGGTAATAGGTGTGACCGACCTTCAAAGGACATCATATTGTATTTCAGTTGACGTTTCCAGGTAGGGAATACGTTCCATTACTACAAAATCATTTGCAGTGAGGAAAGTATGAGTTAGCTGTGGGTTTCAAAGATCCCTAAATCTGATAAAAACAATATTTCAGTCTCATGTCTTGCAATAATCTAGCTCCATTTGAAGCTTATCCAGAAAGGTTTTTGCATCGAATTGCGACAATGGTTGATGAATAAAAAATTAAAAATATCATTTTAATGATCCTCGGGTTTTCCATGAGAATCGCAGATCTTACCAATCACCCCTCGCAAGTTCATAACTAGCTCTAAATCCCTGCAGTTAATGTAATTAAAGGAAGTGTCAGTAAAACATACACATAAAGAACATACATGTAGTTAAGCACTACCTAACGTATCTCACGATTGAATGAGCCCCGATCTTAACATCTTGGGACATGTTTGATCGTCTTGTGCAACAAAGAATCTTCCTGCACAGAACTTGGCCCAGTTGGAAGCTGCTTTACACGAGGAATGGCGTAGACTGTCCCTTCAGAGGATCAGGAGGCTGACAGAGGGTATGAGGAGAAAAGTGCGGCTGTCATACAGTCACATGGAGGTTACACTCGGTACTGACCTTCAATCGTATAAGACACGCAAAATGACAGTTTGAATGTTCACATTCACCAATATATTCAACATTAAGCATTCCAGGGCCATACTTGTACAGACATGGTTTGTGTGGAAATCAGTGTTTTTTTTCTATCAATTTGTCGTTTTTCATGAGTCAACGGATCATACGGGTCAGAAAACTCCTTTTTATATACGTGTTGAAAACATATCACTGCTAAAATACAGGGGTGCTTCATTAAGTTCTTTGTGTATATATGAGGACAAGCCACGTCATAACATGGTGCACGTCTTTCTACAACTGAAGTAGAGGCAGTGGGGTAGCATAATGGTTAAAGCCTCCGCTCGTCACGCTGAAGACCCTGGGTCGATTTCCCCACATGTGTACAATGTGTGAAGCCTATTTCTGGTGTCCCACGCAGTGATATTGCTGGAATACACAATTGCAATACGTCTTAGATTTGTACGGGCTGTACAGTGATCTGATGTTCTGTATTTTGCTGTATTAGGCATGCGACAAACCTGTGATCGGGTGTTCGCATCCGGTACTAGCAATGTTGCTGTTTAAGATATCGAAAACCTACACCAGTATTATGAATTAAGATCGGGAAGCCTAACTCTCTCCCGCTCAATGTTTCTGAACAACTGAATATAACTGATATATTCCAATACCCGACAATTCAGTTGGCCTAACATTCGGTCTTGGCAGCATCTGGATGCTGGGTATCCCATTGTGTCGGGACAAGTGAGCTAGTTATAAGTCCTCTTAAACAGCATTATCATTGTACCACAGACTCTAAGCTTTATTTGACGGGAATTTCCAAGGTGACAGAAAAACGATATAATATAGGTACTGTCCTGAAAAGTGATTTTCACCACGTGAATATACTGGTAACAGCACATAAGTTCACAGTGTGATGATTTGTACTGTTCTGCCATTCTGTGTGAGCAAAGAAATCTGAAAAAATGTAAAGAAAACCCCAACCTTCACTATATCCCATAGTAATGACGTTGGTGACGATAATGCCCACCCTGCTAGTGTTTCCTGGGATGGTACGTAGTGGAGTTCAAACAATCATTGCATCTAGCCGCATCTACGCCGCACTTAGCAATATTCCATCTATGTGGTGGCAGTCCGTACATGGAGCTTCATCTAGGAATTTGGGTATATACAGTATAAGAATGACAGTATCTATCAACACATTCGCCAATACCTTCAATCGGTGGAACTAATTCCTGAAGGCAGGCAGTGATGTTTATGTGTAATGACTTCCCCTGTTTATCAGACTGAGGTAATGTTAAAGCATTAACGCAGTAAATGCAGCCAAGCCCTTGGGACACCACAGACTTTTTGAGGTATCAGTCAGCAATAATTCTCTATACTGTACAAACAGTCCAGCAATCAACAGTTATATGGACGGTAGGGAAAAGGGGATAGGTCATGTGTTGAACTACAGATCACGATGTCACGTGGTACATATTAAGGGTGGATCGAGTGGTTGAACACGGGAGACATATCAACCTGATAATATCACTAAACTAAGCTGCCTATCTGTAGACAATGGTATCACAAACAGTTTCGCCACTTGAACACGTGTCAGAAAAACGGTCGCGTGTTCATAAAATCTTTCTTTCCGCACTTCAAACATTTATCCTTCTAAGGCCATTTAAGGAGAAATAACACTGTGTAACGCTTGTGTCCTAGAAAGGAGCTCAGAGATATAATTTCATACAAGAAGTAACGTATCTGAGCAAAGTGTTAGACATTAATTGTTCTTGGTTTGTCACTGGACGCCTGTTAGAACTGTAAGTAAGGCTAATCGGAGGGGGTGAGAAAACTAAATATGTCGGTCTCTGTATTTCTCGAGTAATATCATGAAGAACATTTAGATAAGTAATGGCACCTCAGGGTACTTGCTTGTGTCCCACCTGATCTGTTTCTCTGTGCGTAAGAGTTGGCGTGTTAGATCAGATTATTTATATCAAAGGAACAAACGACCCCTTGCAAAAGGTTCACTCTCAGGTACGTTCATGACCTTAGCCGTGTCTCTTCTCAGAAAGATCTATACATATACACTTCCAAAACAGTAGGGGAACTTCATTGTTACTTTACGATTGAAAGAATTGGGACATATATCGGAGTTAATCAATGTTGATATGATGATAATGAATGTTTTGAGAGTGCATCACCACTTGCACTTCCTTATGACCATAGTTGTTTGTACAGTAATCGCTCTTGAAAAAATGATTGGTGTATGACGTGAAATTTGGATTTGTACGATTTTCATTTTCGAACAAAAAACCTGGCAAGAAACAAACATGACATCTCATGCACGTGTATAGGGCTACTGCGTTGTGCACGTGCATTCCATGTGTTGTTGTGGTAAATGGTTGGTGGGAAATGAACGGGTGGGAAAATGACCGGGTGGGGAAATGACCGGGTGGGGAAAATGACCGGGTGGGGAAATGACCGGGTCGGGGGAAAATGACCGGGTCGGGAAAATGACCGGGTGGGGAAAATGACCGGATGGGGAAATGACCGGGTGGGGAAATGACCGGGTCGGAAATCGACTTGGTGGGTAAAATGACCAGGTCAGGTGGGGAAATGACTGGATCCCGTGTTGTGTTTAGGGGTGTTTGATAAAGGGAAATGGTGGTGCGTTCATTAGATGCCTTTCTTTAAAAGGTTTGTTAACGCTTATACTTACTATCCGAATGGAACGTTCATGTTCCTCTACTTCTTTATCAGAGTGTATATTCACAACGTCAAACACTGGCTGTAAGTGAGTGAGTGAGTGAGTTATTATTTAGCGTCACATCGGCAATATTTCAGCCATATCGTGACGAGAACAATCTAGTTTATATCAATAGGAAAATCAATAAGGTTAGAACATAAATACCTGCCATCGAAGGACAGTAAAAATACTAGAACATCAAAGCTATATAAATTTAAAACTAGTACGCTAACGTAAAATGAAATCTCTATAGACAGTACAAAATAAAAACGGGCTATAGATCACCAACAACTGAAGGTAGATCACCATACCAGGGACCATGGGGACTTACAGTACCTTTGCTACCTGCATGGACGCTGGATTTACACCATCCCTTCAGCCATTGGTGATTGAAGACAAATCTAGCCATACATTAAAAGTACACATATTCTACGATTAAAAAAGTGGCAAATTTAAATCTACTTTAAATGTGTTGGGACTTACGTACCCTCTCAGGAGTACAATAATTTTACAATACTTCAACCCCCTTTGAGGGTACAGCCATTAACAATCGAAGTTGATTATCTAAACTACCAATCATAAAACTTTATCTATTTAGAAAACATATATCAAAATTCATTTAACAAATCTATCTCTTTTAAAAATCAATGATTAAATGATAATTAACTTTATTAAAAAGGTCCTTTACTGTTTTGATATTGAAATATTTATCCCTTATGATGGAAAATTCAACACAGTCAAGCAGGATATGCTTGGCCGTGA